AGGCTGTCCTCCGTGGGGTGGACATAGCCCAGAGTGTCCCCGTGATACCGTGCGGTGTCCCCACAGCTAAGCCCCCCCTCGAGGGACCCTCATCCCCCGGGACACACCTGTGCTGCCCCCGCAGCCCTGCCCTTCGGGGGGGTCTCCTGGGGGTGGCATCCGTAGGAGGGGAGCCTGGACTGGCTGGGGGGCCCCCTGACCTGGGGCCAGCTCGCTGCCGTCCCAGCCCCCAGGGGCTCTGGCAGAGCTGACCCTTGCGCTTTGCTCCCATCCTGCAAATAACCCCCACCCCCGCACAGCCCAGGCAAGACGACTGAGCTGCGCTTTCCATCGCCCTTCGCTGCTGGGGACCGTCCCTGTGCCAGTGGTGGGGAGGAATGAAGGAGGGGGGCAGCCGCCCAGACTCCTGCCCTGGCCGGTAGCTGACTTCCGTGGGGATTGTCTGGCAATCGGATTAGTTACGGAGCCCGGGTGCCAGGTGAGGCAAGGCAGGGATCCTGCTTGGCTCGCTCGCAGCAGAACCTGGCAGCCCCCAGCCTCAGGGGGCGCTTGGTGACCTCGGTCCCCGGGCAGAGCGGGGAGGGAGGAGAGCTGGAAGGGGGACGCGTGTGACGGTGGGGACTGATTTAACATGGCCTTGACCCTGACTGGGGAAGGTTAAGGGATGAGCAGCCATGACTGAGGCAGGAGAGCCGCCAGTGCGCATTGGGACTGAGCTGCTGCCGGGCTTGATAGACGGCTTGCCCCAGCTTGCACGACCTGATGAGCAGTGGCTTTATTGTTGTGCAAGATGCGGGGCTTGCGAGGCCCTGATCCTGCAGCTGGAGTCTGGCCTGTAAAGGTGCTGGGACGGCGCCGGATGCTGAACTGGAGCTGTGCGGGGCTGTGGTGGTGGTCGGGGAGACAGTGGAAGAGCAGCAGCACACAGCAGCTCACAGCGTCAGCGCTGGCATGCGCAGGCAGCCCCGAGCACAGCCCAGGAATGGTCTGGATAGATGGGAACTGCTGAAAAGAGCTGACGTGCCTTTCCAGCCACATCTGTCTTGCAGTCTGCAGCACAGCACGGGATGTCCCACTGCCCGCACGTCCCACTGCCTACGTGTCCCGCTGCGGACGGGGGGGAGAGGCCGTCTCTACCCGTGTTCCCCTGCCAGCCGCACATGTGCATCCCTGTTTGTGCATCCCCAGTTTGGGGGCAGGCATTGTGAGGGACAGTGAACTCCCCTCAAACGTTCCCTTCTTTGTTTGTTTTCAGGTCTGCCGAGATGTTGCAGGTACCGCTGCCCCTGGATCGAGACGGGATCCTCTTCCGGCTCCGTTTCACCACGCTGGCCGTCGGGACTGTGTTTTGCCCGCTTTTCGGTTTCCTTTTCTGTGTGATCTGGTCCCTGCTGTTCCATTTCCAGGAGACAACAGCGACCCACTGCGGGGTAAGCAACTCCCATCAGCGAAACATCCTCCAAGGGTGTGAGTGGCAGGGCTCCTCTCTTCTCCTGGATCTTCCCTAAACAAGATGGGATTCTGGGATCTGGGATCCTGAACAAGCTGCTTGATTTGATTGTACCTGTGATGCTTTGGGGGTGGCAGCTGAGGTTTCAGCTTTTTAAGAGGGATATGGGAAGTACAGTGGTTCAGGCTGATGTCTGTACTGAGCTCATTGGTGGTGATCACGATAAGGAATAAATCTGGTGAAGCTGTAGTTGAGTACAGTGGCTTGTGGATGATTTAACTCAGGTTCTATGAAAGGAGTTGCTGCCCCTCGGATCTTCTGGAGTTCTTCAGAGGAGTCACCAGGACGTGCCTGGGGAGCACAGATTGAGAGGGACCACCTGCTCGAGGGTAGTCAGGCTCTTCAGCGGGACCTGGACAGGCAGGATCGATGGGCCGAGACCAGTAGTATGAGGTTCAACAAGGCCAAGTGCTGGGTCCTGCACTTGGGTCACAGCAACCCCATGCAAAGCTACAGGCGTGGGGATGAGGAGGAGGAGGAGAGCTGCTTGGTAGAAAAGGACCTGGGGGTGCTGGTGACAGCGACTGAACAGGAGCCAGCAGAGTGCCCGGGTGGCCAAGGAGGCCAACGCCATCCTGGGCTGTCCCAGCACTGGTGTGGGCAGCAGGAGCAGGGCAGGATCATCCCCTGTGCTGGGCACTGCTGAGGCCGCCCCTCAAATCCTGGGGTCAGTTTTCGGTCCCTGACTCCCAGAAGGACATTGAGGGGCTGGAGCGTGGGCAGAGATGGGCAAGAGAGCTGGGGAGGGCTCTGGAGCAGCCGGATGATGAGGAGCGGCTGAGGGAGCTGCGGGGTCCAGGGGAGAGGAGGAGACTGAGGGGTGACCTTATCCCCTCTGCAGCTCCTGAAAGGAGATTGTAGAGAGGTGGGTGTTGGTCTCTTCCATGTAAATAGTGACAACACAAGAGGAAATGGCTTCAAGTTGCGCCAGGGAAGTTTTAGATTGGATCTGGGGAAAAATGTTGTTACTGTAAGAGTGGTCAAGCAGTGCAAGGGGCTGCCCAGGACAGTGGTGGAGTCACCACCCCTGGAGGGGTTCAAGAAGTGCCTGGATGTGGCACTTGGGGACGTGGTTTAGTGGGCATGGTGGGGTTGGGTTGACGGTTGGACTTGATGGTCTGAGAGGTCTCTTCCAACCTTAATGTCTCTGGTTCTGTGATTCCCAAAAGGGACGAGGTTGAGGTCCTCCCCAGAGCTTTCAAGCAGCCACAGCACAAGCGTGGATGAGCAGCTGGCTGCAGGCTGGGCACAGAGGGCAGGAGTGGGTGGTCGTTCTCGCAGCAGCAGGAGATGACCCCGGGGTTTTCTGGGGTCCGTGTTGTTCCTTGTGCCCATACGCAGTGGGGTGGTGCATGCTGACGGTGACACCAGGATCCTTGAGCAGGGAAGGTGAGGGGGGCGATGGAGCCATGATGCTGGGCCAGCTCGATTTGGAGAAATAAATGATGCACACAACCACGACATCTCGCAACTTGGGTGTGCAGGGCAGGGCAGAGGTGTCCCACGGCTCCTGTGAGGGGAGGACTCTTCAGGAGAGACGATGGGAGTGGGGAGAGGCAAGACACGGATCTCTGAGGGGGTGGCTGGCCTGGAGAGGGCAAGCAGGGATCCCCAGCACCCCGCTGCCGGTACAGGACAGGGGGGACGTGGTGTGGCGGTGGCAGGTTCAAGGCAACCGTGAAGGAGCTGGTTCCTGAAGCAGAGAGCAGCTGATCCGGGGACGCCTCCTCGCAGGACACCAGGGGTGCGTGGTTCTGAGTGGGTGCCAGGGGAGGTGTGGGTTACCCCGTGCACAGCAACTGCGGTCACTCTGGAAATCCCCAGGCTGTGACACTCCAGAGGTTGGGAGTTTATTCTGGGGCTGCATTCCTGGTTTTCCTGCTTTTCTGTTCGTCCCTGGACTCTGCCTCTGCCTGCTGCTGTTCTCTCCGTTAGAGTTGGGCTAACAAAACCATGTATGCCCCTCTCCCTGAACTTGGGAGCAGAGAAGCTGTGGGGGACCACAGCTGAGCAAAGGGAAAGAACAAAGGACAAAAGTATAGAATAAATAAAATATTAAGTATAATATCAAAAGTATAAAGCTGAGAAATGCAAGCAGGGCCCTGAGCAGGGCACCCCAGTGCCTGGGGGCTGTCCCAGCAGGGCTGGGGGCTGCACGGCCCTGGGGGATAAACCAGAGTTGCTGCGACCTTATGTTCGCTGGCTTTTGAAATAGGAATAAACTAATTAAAAAATAACAAACCAAAACAACGAAACACCACAGTTTTAGCTCCTTGGAGAGCTGTAAGTACAATGCACTGCCTCTGCCTTGCCCCACAAGCTGTTGTCTCTTCCAGGTCCCCAATTACCTCCCATCCATCAGCGCCGCCATCGGGGGCGAGACCCCCCAGCGCTACGTGTGGCGCCTCTGCATCGGCCTCCACTCCGCTCCCCGCTTCCTGGTGGCCGTCGCCTACTGGAACCACTACCAGAGCTGCCACTGCTCGCACCCTCGCTACCTGCGCTTGTGCCACTGCAACCTGCTGCTCAACCTGCTCGAAAACTTTGCGCTCCTTATCCTGACGTACGTCTCCTCATCTGAAAACTATGGTAGGTGTCTCCTCGCGTGCCCTGTGCCGGCCGTTGTGCTGGTGGCTTTGCTCGCGGCGTTGCAGAGCTCTGGTTCGCGCCGGCGGTTTGGAAGTAGTCAGTTTGGAGAGCAAAAGGAGTCAAAAATAAAGAAGTTCTGTTAAAGTTAGTATTTATAGAGCACAGTGATTTCCATAATCTGCAAATGTTCTTCCCAAAATTTTTTGTTGCTGATAATTGGCCGGAACCGTAGGCTAAACTTTCATACCAAGCCTGTTTTTTCTATCAGGCTTCAGTGTGTGGCTCCCGCTGGAGAGCGAGGCCATGCTTAACGTGTTACCGCAGACGAGCAGGGGCAGGCTGGGGCTCATCGCTGCTCTCTGCTCTGCTGAGCTTTGGCTTTGGCTCCGAGCTGGCTTACAGCCCGCCCTCTCTCCCAGCTGCATTTTCAATACCCTCCCACAAAATTTCCTGGGTAAAATTTCCTGTCTTGACCTGAAAACAAAATCAGAATTTTTCAGGTTAAGTCTGGACGAACGGGTAGTGCGGTGGACTAC